ATGTTAGTTGTTTGGTTGGTAGGCCCCTGAGCTCTTTGGACCATCCATGTTCCACAATGTGGCCTACTTCTCACACTATTAATCAAGACTAAAATTGTTAATATAAATATTGAATTCACGTTTTTCCCATTGACCATCACTTTTTACTCACCAAAGTAAGCAGATTTAATGTTCATAGAGACTCATAAATATCACCTATAGGCCATACGGGTCGAATTCTATATGCAAAAATATTGCACAAACTTATAAAATAGAATTGTTTATATCACTCCGTTCCTAGCGAGTCTTATTTAATGTACGATAGTCCTATTACAGTATTACTAGTGTATATAGCATTACTTTTTCTATGAAAAAAACACTTGTAAAATAGTCTATATATGTCAAATCGAAATCATTTAAATCTTGTTAAACCTAAAAAAAAAAGTTTAGCCAACACTACTACACGAGAAAAGTCCTACGATAAAAGATTTTGGTCATATCACCATCTATGAAATGAGGCCTTGAAGTTCATCCAGTGATGCGATTGAATACTGACTAAATCATTGTCATCGTGCAATTGAACTTCACCCTTTAGGGAAATTTCACTCATTACCATTAGGAAACAAACTGCAAATAGCCGATCACATTTAGAAATTGAAGATATTCCAATCATAAAACCTAAAACTAGGGTTATGATATTACTTTTCCTTTGGATAAAAATAGATCCAAGATCTATCTACTAGAGCCTAGAGCACATAAATAGGTATTGTTAGCCATATTAACATTTGGGCACCTCATAAAAGCTCTGCCACTCAAACCTCATATGCATCATGTTTTGTTCTCCAAGAAGACAATCTATTCTTTACCTTTCTATTAATGAGATACCTAAACCAAGCCTCACTTCACTATTTCTCTAACTTTACAAAAGTGAAAGTGTGTTCACAAAGTAAGTAATATTATTTCATCTTTGAATGGAGGAAAAAAACATAAAATCTAAAGAGATTTTACCCACACAAATTCAACATATTCTAAGATTCAACTACGGAACTAGAATAGTTGTTTTTCTGTACCCTACTTCATCTTTTGGCCCAATGAAGACATAACATCCTCAATCTGTCTTATTTTGTTCCCGAATGAGAGAGAGAGAGAGAGAGAGAGAAATTTGAATTTTTGAAAATGAAAGTGAGGTTTTGAAAGTGAAGTTCTTGGACACAACAAACCAATGGGGCCATTAGGGGAAAGAGAAACGTGGAAAACTTTACCTTTGCAGCAATGATTTGAAGACCAGCATACTTAACATCCCAGCTGAACTCAGTAATAGACCAACCAATGCCACCAAAGCAATGAGCCTTGTTAATTGCATACTTCAAATATTCCTCATTGTCGGTGGCTTTGTATAGCCACAAAGCTGCCCACAACAACTCATCCATGTACCCACTCACTGATGCATAGTAGCTCTTCACCACCCCAACACTCCTATCATATGTTCCTCTATACTTGTCACCAAACTCAAACAACTGCAACCAAAAAAAAAAACATTACCCAATAATAGAAAATTAGTATTTTATATTTTTTTTCCCGACACACGCCCTTTAGACTCGAAACTGCAATAAAAACTCCGTAACCAATAATTTCAAGGGATAGTTCAAGTGATAACATAGACAAACTGTAAACTTAGTTGTCTTGAGTTCGAATCTTGACAATTACTTGAAGGCTGGTCATGAGGATATCCCTCGTGAATACCTTAGTCCTGACGTGAATGACTTGTCTTTGACCGAACCGGAGAAAAGATTGATCGAGATGTGCGTAAACTGACCCAAACACCTTTGACCGTTGAACCAAAAAAAACAATCTAAAACCAAGTGTACTAGCTACCAAACTTAACCGATAACCATCACAAACACACGCCTTTAGACTAACAAATTAACCTAGAACCATCCCAATACATGCTTTTAGACTCGAAATTACAAAGCAAACTTCAGAACCGAGTGTATTAACTACCAAACTTAATGAGGACCGAAGTCCTATCCCAATGATTGGTGCCCTCCATACTGGGGTAACATATTTATGGTTTGAATCCCCTTCCCCCTCCCTGTAGTGTAAAATATCGTTACCTATTAAAAAAAAAAACTACCAAACTAAATGTTGCACAATCCCACTGGATCTGATATAATAATGCATTGCATTAAAGTAAAGATTGATTTTTCACCTGTTGGGCATGGTGCAACAATAGGTGAGCATAATGTGGGTTAGTTTTCTTGAATACAATGGCTGCCGCAGCCATTGCAGCCGCAGTCTCTCCGGCGAGATCCGACCCGGGATTGTTCTCGTCGATCTTGTATGCTTGCCGCGACGTAGTCATGTCCTCTGGCCGTTGCCAGCAGTAGTGATCAGTGTCTCCATCACCCACCTTTGACACAGTAAATTCCAATTTTGAATCATAGTAAATTCAAACTTGAACCAATTTTGAACAGTTAGCTATATACCTCTGCCCATAACACATTTGGACTAGTGTGAGCTTTAATGAAATAATCAGTTCCCCACTTAATTGCCTCCAAAGCATGCTCCAATTCTCCGGCGCCGGCGATCTCTTCGGCGTATTCAACGACACCCCATGACAGCATTGTCACTGTGAATGCCATTGGTAACCCAAACTTTACATGGTCACCAGCATCATAGTACCCTCCAACCAAGTCTACCTATGCAACAAAAATACAATGAACTCTAATCAAATACATAATTTTCAACAAAAAACTCAGCAAAATTTCATCAAACATGTGATAAGCTGTGAACATTTGAACTCACCCCTTGTTCTAATCCATCGGTGAGGCCGGAATGGTGACGCCAAGTGACTCTTTGGCTGTACGGTAAGCGACCTGACCTCTGTGCTTCGAAGTAAAGGAGACTCTTTGAGAGGGCGTCACCATAATCAAAAGCTTGAGCAGAGGCAAAAATGGTGGAGAGTGGAAGACAGAGAGAGAAATGGAGTATGAATCTTGGGATTGTTAGAGCATTGGGTCGTGGCTTCTCCATCGCCATTACCCTTCTTCTTCTTCTACTCCAAAAGAGCTTTTAGGAGAGAAGGGTGCTTTAAAGTTTGGATTACTGTGGCCTCTTCACATGAGAAAGTGATTGAAAATGGTCTCTTTCATCTCTAAGCAAGCGTTACTTTTGCAACGGTTGTTTGATTTCATTATCTCTCTTTTTTGTTGTCGGTGTTGTGTTTTTTTTTTTTCTTCTTTTTTATAGGGCCGTAAATGGGTTGTATGGTGCTTTGTATTTTTAATTATATCATGGAATTGTGTCGAATTTATGCAAAATATAGCGTGATTTATAATTGTATATACTCAAGTTCGTATAATGTCATGTTATAGTCACATGAGGTTAGCGGTTGGCCTAATGGCCACCACTCTATTTTTAGATCTTAAGCTTGCATATTCGAACCTCTTTGTTTTCTTTCATGTAATAATGTATGACAAAAAAAAATATTTATTGTCATATATACTTCGTGCTTAGCTAATTTGATGTTGTGCCTAATTAGGTTTATATTGATATATTTATTTGACCGAAAGATCTATTTATTTATCACTAAATCTGTTAAAATAAATTGAACACTCTTTAGCCACATGTTGATTTTATGGCTAAGTGGTGTCTCGTGTCTAAAATTACAAGTCTTAATTGTATATATAACATGGTAATGCTCTAATTTGATTTAAATTAAAGAAGAACTCATTATACATAAGTGAATTATTTTTCATTTATGCAGGTTATCCTTGTTCAAATGTCACACTAATCTTGTCTATACCATTCCAATTTTATCGAATGTCTTTGGGATGTTGTGTCTATAACCAGTGAAAAATTGTAAAGCAAAATGTTTTTGTCACATAGAAGTGGAAATGTACATTTCATATGCATATTTTTTGACAAAATATAATATTTTGTATATGAATGCATAATATTGTGTGTGATCTACTACATGACACTGTCATGCGATGTCTATAACTAATGAAAAATTATCACACAACATATTTTATCAGATACACTTGAAAATATATAACATTTTACATGTATACGCTGCAAGAATTATGAAAAAATTTGGCATTTAATTTCTAGCGTTTGTTTCTCACAATATACAATATTTTGTGTGTGTATTACTAAATGATACCTTATAAGTACCGAATATTTTCTCGATATACTCATGTGAGACAACTTACTGTAGATGGTGTGTAATATATCATTAAAATTTTGAAAAAAAATGCCAAAATGAATCAGGGTGCAATGATAACCACCTTTATTTGATGAATACTTGATACCATGAAATATTTTTTTGGGTGATATTTTTATTTTTATTTTCTAATAAAAATATGTCATGTATAATTTTTTTTAATTTTATTGTTTTTTTAATCAATGGTTATAAATCATTAAACTAAAATCAACGACTCAAAATGAATTTTAAAGCAATGTTATTTAGATATAATTTACTAACTTAAATTGTTGATCTAATCACTCATTACCCTTGGATGCCAAAAAGTCCCAATGTTCTTTATGATCGGTTATCAATTCAATGATTATGACAAAATTTATTTTATATTACCGATAAAAAATTAAATTCTCAATTTATAAAAACACTACAATAGTTAAAACTGATTCAATTTGTTATTTACTTTGATCTAATAATAGGAAATTCATCCAACAAAAAAAATATATAACTCAAACACATCAATTTCTCTCCACAATCTCTAATGTTAGACAACTCAATCAAAACATCAACACACGTCCTAACCCCAACACCAAACAATTTCATCAATCTACACATACCTCTATTTTCTTTCTTTTTATTTTAATTTTAAATTGTGCAATTAAACAAAAAGCACTTCGCTATTTAAAAAATAAATTTTGTAAAATCAATGTTTGATTTTTAATATTATAAAGTATTTTCAAATATAAAATTATTGCTAGTAGGTCAAGAAATTATATCATTAAATTAAATTTAAATATTATTATTGTGATTTTTAATACAGTACCTCTACAGCAGCCTTATCCCGGAAATAATGGCATAACAGGTTTGGATGTCGTCAATGTGTGCAGTTGTTTGTAATAATATAATTAAGAGTAAAAAGAAAGTCATGATTCAGCAATTGAATTCAGGTTGAAGCATGGCCTTTTGGCCATGGTGCTCAAATCCAATGTCTGTATCACAGAGATTTGGGTTGACAACCTCGTAACAAGTGCAAACTAAAGTTAAAAAAAAAAATGATTTACAATGAACGAGGAGTGCAACGTAGATAGATATCAAAGAAATAATCTTATAATAAAGTAGGAGTCTGTTTTAATTTTATTTCAGTCATATTTTTTTCTTTAAAATTATTATCAATCACTTATCTCACCCATTATTTCTTTGTTAGACTCAAACGTCAAATCACATCACTCATTTTTATCACATATTTAATCATTTATATATTTCCTCCCTAAAGATATCACATAACTTATTTCTATCATATATTTAATTATTTAATATTTAATTAATTTTTAATTAATATATTTTGAAAAAATTTAATATAGTGGGAACGATTTTTTGGACGCTTGAATTTTATATTTTATCGTGCCTTCAGACACGAATTATGATTAATTTTTTAGTATCATATATTTTATTTTTTATGGATCAGAATATGATAAGTATAATTGTTTTTTACCAAAAATAATAAAATTTAATGATGACATGTGAAAGTGTTTTGACGGTTTAAAAATAAACAGTGAGAGTCAAAGTCTAACAAGACGAATTAAGGAAGCGAGACTCTAAAAATCTTGAGAAATGAGAAAATGGAACATTATAAGCTCTTAATAAAAGATGATTTAATATATGTCTACATATATTTCGACGAAAGAGGCAATGATTACATTTATTGCCGAAAAAGATGATTTCGACGGTTAGAAGTCATCTCTTATAATTACCAAAGACAATGCTCTCGATGAACATCACAACTCTACACAAAAAAAAAAAAAAAATTCTTTTATTTAGCTTATTTCCTTTAACTTGTAATCCATCACTTCAGTGATTTTTCCTTTCCAGATGCAATAGCATTTTCATTTACAAATGTAAATGCTTCTGTCGCTTTGTATTCTAGTTGCGTTTTTACATTCTAGACTATTTCGTTATAAGTTAGAAAATATTTAAATTATTGATCTCTAAGGCATAAAAAAAAAACTCAAAGTAACCTTTATACTTTATTACAATCGCCTGAATAATCACAATTTAATAATTTTACGCCAGTTTAAGTAGATAAAATTATATGTGTTTGAATTTTAAGTTCAATTAAATTTTAACACGCCCGTAATCAAAAAATATACCAAACAATAACATTTTCTATTTTTTATTATTGCACTTTACTTCAATTTTTTAAGATCAACTATCATAAGTAAATCAATATAAAAATTATGGTTCTGATTCATTTTTTGGTGTGTTACCCACATTTTTTATGATTATCGTAGACTTATCCATCTATTATATTGGATTCACCATATGTATGTATATATTTGATTATATATCATCCACTCTATATTGATATAGAATTAAGATATATATATATATATATATATATAGTTGTTTTACTTCATGAGGGATGGTTTATCATCGAGAGAAATTGTACTAAAGGAGATCTGAATCTTTCTATGTTGTTAAGTTGACATCTTTCTACCTTCCATCCATAAATTTTTATGCAAATTCTCTAATTCTAAAATAATATCCAATATATAAAAGTATTTTTTCTGCCAAAAAATTCCTCCAACATATCATGATTTGATTAAACTCGAAAGTCACCGACGAGAATCAACTAAAACATGCATCAAAATTTATGATTCGTGGAGGAGCTATTTGTCACTTGGGTAGGACTTCAAATTGACTTTTAAGGACCGTAACTTGATTATTAACGGGCTGTTTGAATAGTTTTTTGGGAGGGGTTTGAATTGACTTATTCAACCCCTTCCAAACTCAAATCCTCTTTGTAAAGATGAGATTTAACATTAAATCCGATTCATACTTATGTTTAGTATGCTCAAGGATATATAACTATTATGATAATATATTTGTATATAAATGACTATTGTGTCTCTTCACTAATCTAATTCAAACTCATATTTATATACGTAAAAAGTATAATTATTTTTTTTGTATCTTAAATTCGTTAACCCTCATCCACAACCCACGCCCTATGGGTTTGATGAAACTCATGATCTAGGATTTAAGATTAGAGTCAAAAGCCGGCCAAGTTTGGTAACCCAGACTATAAATTTTTGGTTAAACATGAGTTTGTGTGTCATTTGGACTATTTTTCCACAACCTATCTTCCAAAGTCTCCTCAATCCCACTTACCCAATAGCCCCTAGAAGTTTTAACTTTTGTAACTTATATTTTTTAGAGTTATAACTTAACCTTTTGACGTAATAACTTTTGGTACAATGTCTCATTGTGTACCGTAATAACTAACTTAAAAATTTGATTTGATGATATGGTTGTTATATTTATTATTGATTTAACTGTAGGTCCCAATATTTATTAAGGCCTATTAACTATTCAATGGTAGTGATTCATCAAGTCAATTTTTTTAGAGCAATGCTACAAACTCAAATGAAACCCAAAAAATTGTAAATCAAATGCATATCATCCATTGAAATAGTGGGTCTTATCGATTTTTTCATTGGGACTCACTCATCTAGAAATAATATGCATTTGAAATTTAACTTTTGGTACAATATGTCTCATTGTGTACTGTAATAACTAATTTAAAAATTTTATTTGATGATGTGGTTGTTATATTTATCATTGATTTAAGTATAGGTCCCAATATTTATTAAGGTCTACTACCTATTCAATGGTAGTGATTCGTCAAGTCAATTTTTTTAGAGTAATGCTACAAACTCAAATAAAACCCAAAAAATTATAAATCAAATGCATATCATCCATTGATGAGTGAGTCTTATCAATTTTTTCATTGGAACCCACTCGTCTCACACTCATCTAGAAATAATATGCATTTGAAATT